GTGAGGAGAGTGAAACCCTAAAACTTGAAAACTGAAACTCATGACGTAAAACATTCCTTTATGAGACAAAGACCAGTCATTTCTAATTCACCAACAACTGACTTGTTGCCTTGACTGATATTTACTGAATTCGAAAAAAGAAAAAATTGTTGAGACAAAAAACAGCTGTGTCAAAGTATAAGTCACATATTTACCAGTAAATAAAACTAAACATTTACAAACATTCTAAACACTATAAACTTATTTTAGTTCCTCTCACTCCACAACAAATTCTTTAAATTTAACGCAGAACAAGAATAAAAAAATACTGAATTACTGGCATGTGGAAAATGTGCTATACAAACACAAGCAAGCTGAATGTGAGGAGAGAAACTGAAACCCTAAAACTTGAAAACTGAAACTCCAAACAAGATATTCCATGTGTTATTGTTACAAAAACTGTGTAATGTATTTCTATTGTTTCGACAAGTACAAATATCTGATCTACAGCATTTTTCAACTTTACCACAATAAAGGTTGCAAATATAGGGATTAAAAGTGGACAAAAAGAGAAAAATAAATGTTTATAGCCTATAAATCCCCTGCAAAAAAAAGACAAAGGGTGAGGATTTGGGAAGAGAAACAAGATATTCCATGTGTTATTGTTACAAAAACTGTGTAATGTAGAAATGTCATTTTTTTTGTAAAATGATACTAAATATCAGAATTTAACACACAGTAATCAATGATGATTCGCTGTAGGAAATGGTTAATGGACAAAGCTATCAGCACTGTAAACCTCAACAGTACCAGAGTTAAAGCTTCCTGTTCAAGACAAACTACTGAACACATATGCATTTGTGTTAAGGAGATGAGGATTCAGAAGTCAGAAGAATAAAAACATTTATTAAAGATGATATGAGCAGACCAGGGGTCAGCAAGGGATCTTTCTATAGTGTTTTTCTATTAACAGTGTACGAGTAAATTAAGGTCTCTTGGCCTGATGAGATCTTCATATTTGGGTTTAGACCATAAATTACACACCTTAAATGTGAATTCTGAATCTGGAAACTACAGGTCATCTTTTAATCTCACCCTCATTTTATTAACCTGCTATGACTGACTTTCTTCTGTGGAACATATTCTAAAAAACGGGGTTCTAACAACATTGGACCCCATTGACCGTCATTGTACGGACAAAATAAATAAATAAATAAATAAATAAAAAGAAATAACTCTTTCAAAATATTTTCTTTTGTGTTGCACACAAAAAGTAAAATCATACAGGTTACAACAACATGAGGGTGAGTAAATGATGACAGAATTGTTAATTTTGGGTGAACTATCCCTTTAAGTAATATTAACACAGTTTTTTTTTTAACTCATAAGTTAAAAACTGTGATTCTAAAAACCCAGAGAAAAATTCAGAGCGAACCGACGGCTCAGAAATGCTAATTCTCTTCTGATTTCAGGACTAAACACTCTCTTGTCTCTTGTCTTGTCCCTTCAAAAGAGAGAGTGCTTGTGGAGAAATATTTAAATTGAGCAAATGTCAAGAGAGTCAAGAGAGAGGATAACAAAGACAAGCGGGTGTTGTCTTACTGTACCTCAATGGAGCAGCCTTTGATCAGTCCTGTGTAGTCTGGGCTGCTCAGCAGATTGTACGGCGTTCGGGAAACTTCAATGTCTTTCATACAGCCAGAGAACCTCTTCAAAACCACCTCTGACCTGAGGAAAAGCAGACGTCAAGTCAAGTCACCTTTATTATTTATAGAGCGCTTTATACAATACTGCTTGTGTCAAAGCAGCTTTACAGAGTCAAACAGGAAAATAGTTTGTCAATGATGCGAGAAGACAATAACAGAGTCAGACGTGAGATTAAATACAGGAGGAATTCATCTAATAACATCAGAAGCCTATCTTTGAATACACATGTGCACACCTGTAGTTTCCAGTCTTGGGTACACCGCCAAAATACATCCTCTCATCCTCCCTCAGGTTGAGGCCTGTAGCTCCACCTGGAGACGCCATCTTGCACCGGTGTTATTGCTAACTAAAACAAAAGCTTCTCAAATATATTTAATTAACAATTGAAATAAAGCCGAAATAAAATAGAAAAAAAAATTATTTGGCAACTAACTGAAATAAAATAAGTAATAAAATTACTAAAACTAACAATGAAATAAAAATGAATTATAAAAAATAAAAATGACAAAAGCACAAAACAAAATTACTAATCCTTCCATGAAAAAATATAAAAATAAAAGCTAAAATGTTAATAAATTCTATAATAGTACATAAATAGTAGTGACATGACACTTATTTGTGCTGACACATTAAATTTGCCTCGTCACAAATGCTGAATCAACATCACTGAGCATTACTGAGCTCACATGGCACATCTGAATACATGCGTCTACTGTAAGAGCTGTGACCGGGTGATGATCTTCAGTCGATAAAATAATACGTTTAATTTTGCCACGCTCATCATATGACTTCAGTAGAGTTTAAATACATTGCACATGTTACAAAAGCCTGCAAAAGACCAATGTGAACACAGAAGAAAGAAACACATCCCGAGATCGGCTCGGCGCACTGCTGAAGGTGAGCTGCTCTGTTCTCATATCTGTACCTTCTTTCTTCATGCGGGACATGGTGAACGACTTCCATTTGCCGTCATTATAGCGTTTGGCACTGATGATGGAGCCGGTGCCGGAGCCCAGATCATAACTCACTTTCACCCTCCCATCCCTCAGCTCTGCACTCATGAAGTCTTTCTGCTCAGATAGACAGACAGAGCACAGATATATCCAGCAGAACGCATGTAGATACTGTAAAATATGGTGTAGGTGTGTGCGGGGCTGTTACCATGTCCTTGGTGGTGAAGTACATCATGAGCGCGTCTGTGGAGAACGTGCGGAACTTGAACATGACCGTGGAAACGTTTGGGTTCCATCGGGTGGGTCGGCTGACGGCGGCGTATCCCTCTCCGTCAAACTGAACCGTGCCTTCAGTATCCGCCGGCTGAGGACTACACACACACATTACACAGCATTACACTGAGATCCCACCTGACCACACAACCAGCACAATCTCCGTCTCTCTCTCTGTAGTTCCAGAGGCCGATGGGTTTTCCATCTAGAGATGTCTCTCCCATACAGCCTGAGAACGTGGTGGTTTTCACAGCATCTGCTTTCTACACACACACACACACACACACACACACACACACACACACACGGAAAATCTGTATGTTTCTCACATGATTAAAAAAGATCAGACTTACTATTCTAAAATACTGCACAATAATTCAAAATATATTCTTTCAAAACAAGTCCCTGCCACTGTCACCTTCGGTTTGCTAAGTTGAGGTCTAAAGGATGCTTAATATTCAGTAATACCATCCGTTTCATGGCACCGACACTATCAGATGAGAACAAAACTTGAACTGACTTAAGCTGAAGCAAATGACTTCACAATTAATGAATTTTGCAACACTGACACTGTTGAACTGATTTGAACACTGAACTGACTCGAGCTGAATAATGTCACAGTTGTTATCA